AAGTGACATTCAAAAACGTTCAAATCTTACAGATCCCAAAAGATTGTGAAGTACTGATATAGAATATGAGATATGATTGCAGACTGGATATGGAATGTCATCTGGCTTATGGTATTATTCTGCACGTGGACAAAGCCAAGAAATGATTGAGACAGTGTGAAATTTAATAAGCTCATTTTTATATGACAGTTTTTGTTATTTTCAGTCGAATCGTTGTCATTTAGGAATAAGAACGCGTGGGTGTTTGAATCGAGATTGCGATCTTTTAACGATTAATCATGCAGCTCTTCACTAGCGTTTGTTGAGTCTCTTAAAACTTTACAGTAATCCTGGTTTCTGCTTACCATATTAAGTAGCACAAAACAATAAAAAAAAAAGAATATAATGGCATTGATATTTAAGTGTATAACGCCACTGCTAATTAAAAAGTTCTAAATGCTGATTAGTCAATAAAATATTCCAGCTGTTCTAAAATACAATATAGTAGTAACAGATTTAACTGGTTTCTGTTACCAAAAACCAACTTCCCAAACCTCTACACTGAAAGCTACATCAGCTACTGGGAAGGTATTTCACAGAATCTCTGCATTGTCATTGTATAGCTATTTGACACAGGACAGCAGCCAACTCAAGTTTACCTACAGCCATAAAGAGGGCAGTCTCTCTCTCTCTCTCTCTCTCTCTCTCTCTCACTTACTCTTCCACTGTCTCGGTGTGGTTCCTGTAGAGCAGAAATTTTGACAGTCAGCAAAAGTGGATAATGGATGTAAATCACCTCTGTGTTATAAGTGCGTTAGCACACAGAGATCAGGCTGCCTGAAACACTCTGAGTGCCATTGGTTTGACCTACTTTCTCTTCTACAACACAGCTGGGATGCGCAGAGCTTAACCCGCGTCTACACTGCAGGCCTGCAGCGCGACTCAACAAAACTTAAACACCCACGTTGTAATTAATAAAAGGGTCTAAACTGCATGCGTGCAAAGACCTCAAGGATAAACCAAAGTATAATGTAATGAAAGAATATGCTACATATTGTGGTCTACTGCCGAATCACAGCCGTTCTGATATTGAGTACAACAGTTCGAACAATTTCCTCTTGGTGCGTGACATTTCCATTGAGAATTCAGATCATGTAACTGTATGTCGGGTTGAGCAGACCAATGTGGTTAGACTGGTTTCAAAGTAAATGCGACTCACATTTGAATTTTTTTACAAACAGGATGAGTCATCTGTGCAAAAAAGGAAAAAAAAACATGGTGCCTCTCGTGTCGTGATTATATATTATTAATAGAACAATTTATCATGTTGGTAGTTTTATTTTAAGAATCATTGCGTTTAAAATGCAGAGTTTTTGTTCTTGCGGCCTGATCCATGAGGCAGTAATCTTATCAGAACTTATTCAAGGCTTTGAAAAGAATGTCAGAAGCAGCGATGGCACGCTGAACTTCCTCTTTCTGTTTTCATGTGTTTCTCCTCAGGGTAAGAGCCATTTCCCTTTTTTTATTGCTGCTTTTGCTCTCCGATCCTGGGAGACTAAAGACTTTAGCCAAGAATTGGGCATTTCCATCAAATAAACGGGCGATTAAAACTCATGAAGTTTTGCAAAATGTCATTAAGTTCCATTTAAGGTATAATGAAGGTATTAAAACAAATAGACTAATCTAGCATCCGACAATTAAAAAGTTGCCACATAAACTAATTTAATGTGAGATTGTCAGCCCACTGTGATCACTAGATGGCAGGGCCTGAAGAGATCGATCATTACATCACTAGATAGATATGTAATGTGGAGGAAGTCACGTGTTTTGTGGACATCAACTGCAGTCTATAAATAAGTAAACAGAAGATGGAGAGAGGGGGATTTTAGCCACAGATGTCTCATCATTTGCAAATACATATTCGTTCCCATTATTGCAAGGTCAGGCTGTTTGACTTTGGCATGAAATGAAAATTTTCTAAATGCATGTTATAGATCTTAGTAAACTATTCATCCATGCATGTTTTTGAAAGTTAAATGCAGTTCAAAATTAAGAGCTCCTACCCATGTTCGGTGTGCAAATTGAGCAGAGTAAAAAAAATATTTGCATTGACTTGTACCTGGACTTTAAAGTGGACTCAAACCTGTTTGTAGTTGTGATAAAGCATCTCAGTCTACATTACATTCACACTGATGTTGCAGAAAGACAAACAATTAGAATAATACTATTTTTATTATTAGTGTCCCTAAAGCAGCAATATTTTGGGTAACACTTTAGTTTAGGGTCCAATACTCACTATTAACTCGTTGCATATTAGCATGCATATTACTAGGATATTGGCTGTTTATTAGTATTTTTAAAGCACATATTAATGCCTTATTCTACATCTCGTAATCCTACCCAACACCTAAACTTAACAACTACCTTACTAACTATTCATAAGCATTACTTAGAAGTTTATTGAGGCCATATTTAATAGTTAGTCAATATTGAGAATTGGGCCCTAATCTAAAGTGTGGCCATATTTTGTAAAATAAATGCACTTTAAAATCAAATTTAAATGAAAGATGATTATTTCATAGTAACTATAACTTACTTCACACTATAGTAGGGAAATTACAACACTTTTTTTCTTAATTTCTTCACTTTTTTATTTTGAAAGAAAACAGCAGTTGAGTTTTTATTTTAGCAAGAAACTGCTGTTTCTGTGAAACAGGTTTACAAATGAGTCTCCATACATTATAAATCTAGTGAAGGCTGTAATCATATGTCCACAAAAATGTTGTGAATTATGAAAATGTGAAAATAATTCATAACTGATACGTGTTGCATTCCAAAAATGCATGTTATATGGACAGCTTATGCAGAGAGTTGCTGCATTCACTGTGAACTGAGCCATTCTGAGACACTGAAATCACTAGATCACGAGCTGATCGCATGAGCAAAGTGTGCACTCCCTTTTGAAACATGCAGCACAACAGACTTCTTTAATTAAATCACAGGTTAAGAGCACTAAGCCCTATTGCGCTTTCAATTTTAGTTTGTTTTATAAATACATTGCCAAAGAAATTCCTTTTTATGTTATTATGAGAAGTGTAAAAAAAAATTTGGTTCATTATGAAACTGTGGCGGGACAGATTAGACAGTGGGGGGCAGTCAGAGTGTAGGGAATTACTGGGAAACACTGCTTGTAATGTTTAATTGAAAATGTTCTAACTGGATCTTCCATTGAAAATGACAGACCTCTGTCTGGTGACACATGCAGGACTTTTCCAATCATTTAGTCACTCAAACCCATCCCTGCAAACACGTTCATCTGCCGTCACGTTTGAGGCCACGCCCACTTCTCAACATCCAATCAGCAACTGATGCACAGAACCTGATGCACTTTTTTTTTTTTGATAATCTGTTTCACTCACATTTGTTTCTCAGAACAGAAGAAAAAATCTGTCACTACTTCTGTTTTATTGTGACTAATAGTTTTTTTCCCCCTTCAGAAATCTAATGTAGCTCCACATCCACCCTAATAATCCTACATCTCATCACCATTTGGCTTCGTTACGGGTGGACACAGCTTTTCTGTAAGGCTAACCCACTGAATAGAGCAGGGCTCTTCAAAAACTTTATTTTGGGGTCCAGAGTAACCATATTTTTTGAGAACTTTCATCAAAATGAATCTCAAGCTGCATTTGGCCTGTGTTGCCACCAGCAAAAGCTATTATTACCCTGTTTTATAAGTTATAGAGAACAGGTTAAGCCTGAAAGACACAACTCGATGCTATTAAATGTAACTGCAAGCATGCATGACCAATTAAAACTAGCTCAATAAAGTGTAAAAAAAAAAAAAAACCTTTTTTAAGGGTTAGGGATGTGAGTAAAGCAGTTGAGTGTACTTTATATATTGCATAACCATGTAGTACGTTCCGTTATATCAATAAAATACTTAAATGACAGGTATCTTATTTGATTATTTATTTGGAACTTGATGGACACAAACCAAAAGATAAGATTATTGATAACAAAGCAATAAATCAGGCATCTGTGCAAAAACAACTTCACATTATGTAACATGTGAATCATAGATTTAAATCAGCAAAACTAATATTACATGCATATCTGCTGGGTCCTGTATTAATGCTGCGAGTTGTGACATTGCTTAACTGTAAACAAAAGAAGTTTCACCAGTTTCGCTTTGTGCCAAACATGATCGGCCTTGTCTTAACTTGTTTGGGACACGTCTCGTTCTGTATATCTTCACATTACTCCATGTTTCTTTTTTTCTCTCACGTGTGAATGCAGTAAAGCAGTCCTGACCACTCATCGTCATGCAAATATATCAACTGTAGTCCAAATGATATCACAAAGTCTGTACCAGTTGGGTCATAGGTATGCTCCTATGTAATTATAGCCTGTATCATTTTCTATGCAGTAAATCATAATGATACCACAGCTATTAATAATGTGGCATTTGTTCACTGAGCTACATCGCTGAGTGCTGATGTTATAAAAGCAGATGTTATCTGTTCTTGCATGGAAACATGTTTGTGCTGTCTAAAGAGGATATGCAACTGTACTCTCCTCCTTTTTGCTTTGCTTCACTTGATGGATTTGCATGCAAGCAAGCCACTGTTTATTTTTTACTACGCTGTGAAGGCCTACTTGTATTCTGTCTTTTTTTTCACGCTGAATGCGTGTAGGCGTTGCAAATGTGGCTTCATGCAGCCAGTGTGGAGGTGGAGCAGTGCTGAGTGTTTTGGCTACTTTCAGCCGTCGCCCCCTGGTGGCCAGTCTAACATCTTTTATTATGTTTCGTTATGATTGCACTGGCTTCTAACTTCTTAATGAAATTCAAATTTTGTTTTCAGTGTTGTTTTCAGAATCATGTTTTCAGTGATAAATAACTACATTTGTATAGCTGATGATTGGTTCTTGTCATTTAATTTAATTATTGTTTCAAATCTTTGAACAATATTTTTCCTGTACATTAATATACACATATTCTTGTGTTCTGTGTGTTTCAGACCTGAAGACAGCACTGCCACACCCTCGGCTGTTGGAAAGTCCGGCACTGGCATACACAAGATCTGTCTGGTGTGCTCGGATGAAGCTTCGGGCTGCCATTATGGAGTCCTCACCTGTGGAAGCTGTAAAGTCTTCTTTAAGAGAGCAGTTGAAGGTGAGGAAGTCCTCATACATCTGTATCCTTGTTTTATATCTGTGGGCGGCCATTGCTGTATTCATTATGCATACACTTTAGCTTACTTTTAAAAAGAGTACTTATTAGAGAAATACTTAAAGGGGACCTATTATGCAAAATTCACTTTTGCATGGTGTTTGGACATAAATGTGTGTTGGCAGTGTGTGTATACAACCACCCTATAGTGATAAAAATCCACCCACTCATTTTTTTTAAATCCCCATAAATCATAAGCAGTGTCTCCCAACGACCTGTTTTCAGCATAGACAGTAAAAGAAATGGACACAGCGACCCCCTTGATTTCAACAGAGAGAATTGAGGCTCAATAAAAGCACTCACTTCCTGATAGCCAAGCGTTCTGCGCAGGCTCAAACTGAGCTTGACGACGTATATGTGACGTGAGCAACTGTTCTGACCTTCTAGTAGCTGTGCCGGGACAAATCTGAATTGAAATCTGAAACAAATCTGTTGTTGGAATATTTTGTCCCGTTGCTTTAATGAACTCTCTACTATGGGCTTCTCCCTTGACTTTATGCCTCCATGTTCCCCCGATTGCCTCATAGACAGTAAAAGATTGTCTATGAGCGTCTCCTCCTGTCTATACGGTAATTTCTCTACTGTGCGACAGAGAGTCGCGTGGTTATGACACAATCGTTAGCCTATTTTTACAAAAAACGGCTTCTACGGGGCCATAACGTAAGATACAAAGTAATGGAGCCTTTTATACATTGTCCTGTTTCTTAAGGAATAAATAATGGACAAATGGAGTCTTTGGATGCCTCAGATGTAAAGTTATTCGCTGTCAAAGTGATGCCAAAATGAATGGGAGTCAATGGAATGCTAACAGCTGGTGATGGTCTGCTACAATGGCGGCCCCCAAGGGAAGCTTCAGTTTCCGGCTGGTGGATTACCCCCTTGGTTTTCAGCCATGGGGCTGGTGTGACGTCATATCAGCCCACGAATGTTGACAGACACTGCCGTTTTAACATAGAACCGCGCTGATCGAGTTCACAGCGAGTTGTACATATCTGCCATTGCTGCACTGACGAGAATGTCTTTGTAGTTGGATGTAAGAACGAACATAGCTATCTTCATTTACTCCCGTTGTTACTCGAGGATGGATCTGTATTACTAACTGTTCGTGGTCCAGCTTACAGTCTCCTCAGCGATTGGCCTAACGTAAGTGAGAGCGCGCACTGTTTGACATGTATGATCATCGAGTTTGTCTATGAATCTAGACGAGTCTACAATTTATAATGTTATCATATTAAAGCCAATAAATAATGGATTATTTCCTTCAGCTGAGACACTTCAGATGCGCACTGTTCGGCATGATGGTTTGAATTGCTTGAAATATGATTGGAATCACTTCAAAAAAGGAAAATACAGTTAAGTCCAACATTCTCAGCGCAAGTCTGTCAAATAGGCTACATAAAATTATAATGAGAACATTATTATAAATGTGTGCTTGGGATATGGCTTTTAATGGTGAGACTTTTGTGTTTGTAATCAGCAGATTAAAGTGCTAAATTTCCGTTAATCGCAGCAAGTCTTCGACGGATTTCCGTTAATTGCAGGGTTCCCGTCTGTCCTTATGTCTTAAATTCACTTTTCATAATTTTAAGGCCGTAAATATGCTTATATTCCTCAAATAGTGTAATAAATGTCTTAATTTCAGTTTGAATAGGTCTTAAATTAAGGAAAAATGAGGTGTATTCACCCTGCTGAGGGGGATGTGATCAAAGCCTGGAGTGGAGCAAAAGCACGTTCCTCTCTGCACTCTAAGCATCCACTCCGGGTTTTCCATTCCCGCTCACGGAAAAACTGCTCCGTGTTCATTCCATTTTAAAAGTTAATCTAATATGTTTATTTTTTATATCATGACCGTCTGAATTTATAATACTATATGTAACATTTATAATACTATATGTAACGGTTTGGAAAGATAAGATATAGGCTACAGGTAAAGATTAGGAGACTGCGAAAAGAAGTAAGAGAGAATGTGATGGAGATGAGAGAGGAAGAGCAAGTATTGCATACTGTGACCATGAGCTTAACATTATTACAATGTATTCCTATTTAACACATATAAATGTTCTTTGCTAATTACAGTGGAAAATAAAGCTCAATTTAACAACACAAGCACCTATTAATTATAATGCCATAATAGTAGTATTATATTAATATTTGTATGGTCCTCGAATATGTTATATTTCACCAGCATCATGCATAGCAGGATCACTATAGCAAGGACCTCGGTATTTATAAAATTCTGCGTACGGCCCTGCGCTTGCTGTTTACTTTTCATATAATCAACATAAATACATTTTAAAAATAACATTATGTATAGTTTGTGATATCACTTTTCGGCAAAAGCTCTGTTGGCTTTTATTATTTGAGAAATAAAAACTTGTGTTAAAGTTAAGCAAATGGTTAATTATTTGTATGACTACATCACAAAGAGTCAAGTCTTGTAAAAGCATTAGATTGAAAACATTGAAATTTCATAAAGTGTGTAAATAATAGAAATGCAGTTCAAAATGGCCTTTTTTAAATGCAAATGTTCTTTGAGTATTTCATTTGTGAAGGTAATGCATGTACTCACTATATTCCTAATTACAAGAAGAAGAAAAAACTCCTCACAAACTTGGTGCGTGACAGGCTGTGGAATGGGGTTTGGCCGAGGACAAATTTTCAGTCAAAATATTTTTTTCTGCTTTAACCCCTGAATCAGGCTATCAAAAATTATATAAAAATTTGGATTTAGATTTATTCGCCAATAGATCGGCTAGTGCGTATTTGTGTTTGTGCTCTGGAGAATTCAAATGTTTCTATTTACTATGTGTTTTTCCAGGGGTGATCAATGTAGCCAATCACAGACATGTTTGCTCATCTCTTGAATTAATATATTCAGAATCCACTCACTGGTTAAAAACTAGAGTTTTTGTTTAGCATCGAGTTCGGCACACTCTCAAATCCTCTCATTAACAAAGTGTAGACATGATGTAAATAAGAGTCATTGCAGTGTAGACAACTTGATTATTATCAACAACTTGATTGATTATAACTTTGTGAGATCGCGAACTGAGATGAGTGGCAGCTTTTTAAGGTTATAATCTTCTAGAGCTGTCTTTGCACGCTAGATATAATCCATTCAGAATTTTAATAAAAGTCGACACAAATAATGGTAATTGATATGATTAGCCTTTGACCTGACTACATTATCAAACCATGTTCCCGTTCACCTGTCAGACAGCAGCCTTCGAAAAATCAGCATCCTTAGAAATAATGATATGTTGCACGTTGACTGGATTGGTCACATGCTTTTTTGAAGGAAGAGAACAGGGGTGGATTCAAACTGTGTGTTTGAGACCGGTTGACAAATTTCTACCGGTTAATCGTGTCTACTGGTATATCGCCCACCCCTAGTCGAATGTGCAGACGAGCATTTAGGGTCAACTAAAATATACCTTAATCTCATTTATATTGAAATTTGCACGTCATGTATATAAATATATCTGTACTTATAAGTTGCATTTGAATACATTTAAAACTTTAACTGTAAAATGTAATACATTACAGTGAAAATGATTATCAAGTGTTTTACATGTGCTTTGATATTTAGCATTTTGCAAAAGTGTGTTAAGAAACAGTTATGAAAGTATGCTCAAGTTTTATTTTAAATAGTTTAAGTACACTACAATAACAAAATATGTGATATTTTTTGGCTCTGTCCTTCTTTACCTGATTAGGTAGAGTTAGAGACCACGTCCTTCCAGCATGATCTGACTTCTCACTGCATGTCTATCTCAGATGACTCATACTGTGTCATTCATCGGTCAAAGCGCCTTTTATTCTGTGGGTGTTGAAATGTGTCTCTGCTTGACAGAGGAAATGCATTTGGATAATATGCAGACAAATAACTTGAAAAGGATTTTACAAGAACCTCTGTTAATTAGCATATATTTCAGTGGCAGAAATGTTCATTGTGCATATTTGTTCATTTAAAAAAGCAGCAAATGCATGCAGTGGGTTTTAGGACAGTGTTTGACAGCTCCTGTGCATGATGAGGGATTTTTGAGAGACATCCTGTCTAATCCACACTTCACTTGATTCTCACAGGGCAACACAATTACCTGTGCGCTGGACGGAACGATTGCATCATTGACAAAATCCGCCGGAAGAACTGCCCTGCCTGTCGTTTCCGCAAATGCCTCATGGCAGGCATGAACCTAGAGGGTAACACGAAATGCTGCACTTATTACATAATTATACCAGTGTGTACCCAAATGTCAGTCTAGATTTATAACAAATGTAAAGTTTAATTAAGGGAAATGCATAAAGTTTGAGAACTGACTATTGTAAACTTTCCTCGTTCACTGCTCAGCCCGTAAAACCAAGAAGGGGCGTCAAACAGGCAAGGTAATCCAGCAGCCGACGATTCCAGAGCGCAATCTTTCCCCACTGCCCGAGGCCCGGGCACTGGTACCCAAACCCATGCCTCAGCTGGTGCCCACCATGCTGTCACTACTAAAGGCCATTGAGCCGGAAACCATCTATGCCGGATACGACAGCACCATACCTGACACGTCCACCCGCCTCATGACCACTCTGAACAGGCTGGGCGGCCGGCAAGTCATCTCTGCGGTCAAATGGGCCAAAGCTCTGCCAGGTACAACTTAGGATGTCTTCAAAAAGTCCTGTGGGAGATCACAGAACATACTAAAAACCTCTATTCTGCCCTTTTTAGGCTTCCGGAACCTTCACCTGGACGATCAGATGACCCTCCTGCAAAGTTCCTGGCTGTTCCTCATGTCTTTTGGACTAGGTTGGAGATCATACCAGCAGTGTAATGGAAACATGCTGTGTTTCGCACCGGACCTAGTGATCAATGAGTATGTATCTCATTTAACAGGCCATGTGCTTTAACAAAGCAGTAAGCAGCACCAATGTTTAGCAAGGACTGGAACTATCCGTTTGATAGTAACATCTTTTACTTTGGAAGTTTAACGGCCCATATAAGCACAAATAAGAGTTATTTGTCTCTGTCCACAGAGAGAGGATGAAGTTGCCCTACATGAATGATCAGTGTGAACAGATGCTGAAGATCTCCAATGAGTTTGTGAGACTGCAAGTGTCCAATGAGGAGTACCTGTGCATGAAAGTCCTTCTGCTCCTGAGCACAGGTGAGCTACTTTAGAAGCCATTGACCCATAATATATATATGGTTTCAGGTTCCCTGAGAGACCAGATGTATCCACTTGGTGTTAAATGAGCTTAACAAAGCAACATCATTGTACCTTTTTATGTTTCTGTGGTTTCTCAGTACCGAAGGATGGTTTGAAGAGCCAGACAGTGTTTGATGAGCTACGAATGTCTTACATTAAAGAACTGGGCAAGGCCATTGTGAAGAGAGAGGAGAACTCCAGCCAGAACTGGCAGCGATTCTATCAGCTCACTAAGCTACTGGACTCAATGCACGATGTAATGCAGTTTATCCTAAATAATGCACATAGAAAAGTATGGCTCTGCTCCAAACCCTTGTGAGATGTCTACTGTCTACATAGGTGGCTGCCTTCTAAGGCAGCATCCGAACCGAGATGGACTGATATAGAACACTGTGCGAACACCGCGCAGAGACCCAATTCAGCAATTTATCCCAGTAAAGCATTGCGTGTTGCTAAGATAATGATCTAATAAGCATGGAAATACATGGCACACACAAATATGGGGTCATTTTTATTATATTTTAGATAATAGACTACACTATATTAAATTGTTTAAGTATTACTAAATTAACAGCTTTATACTATATATTATAGTAAAATCATTTTTACTTGATACTTTCAGCATTGAATGAAATACAGTAGTCCTTTAATGCTGTACGCCATGGATTGGATTTTTTTCACTGAATTTTTGGTAATGCTTTTTAGGATTCGTTTCACTGCAAAGTACTATGCTATGCTACCTTAGAAGAGGTGTCATATAAGGCAGCATGTAATATTTATGCTTGCTTTTTGAAACAGCCTTCACATCTGGAGTTAGCCTATGATGCAGCTACTGAGGCAAATCGCAAGGTTTTGAAACAGAGCAAATGTCTATTGTTTATCTTTTTTTTTGCATTGCAACAACATGAATTCATAATTGGCCCTATTTTTTTATGTGCCTTACATTGTGACATTCGTCAGCGCATATTAGTCTGATAAGAAACCCAAAAAACTGAAATATTATTACAGCTTAAAATAATTGTTTTCTATTTGAACATATTTTAAAATGTCATTTATTTCCTGTGATGCAAAGCTGAATTTTCAGCGTCATTACTCCAGTCTTCAGTGTCACAGGATCCTTCAGAAATCATTTTAACATGATGATTCGCTGCTCAAGAGACATTTATTTTTATTATCAATGTTGAAAACAGCTGTGCTGCTTAATATTTTTGTGAAAAACCGCTACATTTTTCCAAGACACTTTTAATGCATCCTTGCTGAATAAAAGTAGTCATTTCTTTCAAAATGTATCAGCTTCCTCCACTTCTAAAATAACTCTTCATTTGATGAAACCGAGACATGAAAAACGATATTATTAACCAATACTATCACTCGGAAATACAAGTAGAGTGCAGTACAAATGCTGTTTACAAAGTTTGAATCTCTAACCCCTCTGTGTCTCTTCAGATGGTGGGTGGACTCCTGAACTTCTGTTTCTTCACGTTTGTGAATAAATCCCTCAGCGTGGAGTTTCCCGAAATGCTTGCGGAGATCATCAGCAATCAGTTACCAAAATTCAAAGCCGGGAGTGTCAAGGCGCTGCTCTTTCACCAGAAGTGAATCTCCTCCCAGCAGCAGGACACAATGCCTTAAACATCCACCCCATCCCCACTCCCACTCCACCCGAGACAGCAGAGGGAGGCAGAGCAGAGCGAGACGGAGGCGCAGGGAGGGTGAGGGGCAGGACAGTATGCAACCCAGCACAGAACTCCACGATTGACCAGAATACAGTGGAAGAGGAAGAGACGGGTAATTAGAGAGGTTCTAAAAAGCTAACAAATGGCTGAACTGTTGAAATTACGTAACTGTGAATCTCACAGATAGGCTATCACATACATGTCGTCTCAGGTGTTTGACTCCCAGCATCAACTATCAGTAGAAGAAATCGAATTGTCTAAGATCACTTACTATGTAGAGTTCCTCACATCTTTTATTTTTGGAGCAGATGCAGCACCCCAGCACTTACAGTCCAGTATGCGCAGATTATATAGTTTCTTTTACGTCAGATTATCTTCAGATATCATACTTTATAACTTCGGATGATAACAGTTTCAAATAATCATTTCAAATAATATGTACAGAGATAATGGCTTCAGCTTGGTTTGAAAGAATGAAATGCGTTTTGTATAACAACAACATATCTTCAGTCACTGTTTTAAAACAAGTCATGTCGTTAACAGAATTACATATATACAGAAAAAGGGAAAATATGTGCCTTTTTTTTTTAGCTTGTTTCCTTTTTAGCCGTTCTCTTGACTCGTCCGCACCAGACATCTGGCACCCATTGTGTTAGGACTTCTTCATAGTTGATTGTACTTTTATACCCACTTGCACTTGTAATTTTAATAACGGCTGTTTTTGTTTTTTGGCAGCTTTGTAATCAGTAAAGTGGTCCTTATTGATAAGACATGGAGATGCATCTAACAGTTATTTTTAACACTGATTGGTCAGTCGAGAAATGCAAATCTAGCACTTTCACTCCTTGTAAATGCTTTAAAGGGGCTGGTTTAGGTTTGTTCTGCAGAAAGATGTATTCATCATGTCAAAGAAAGCCATTTATTATTAATTTCACCTGTTAATTCATATAGGAATTATGCAATGTGAAACGTTTTTGTGTGTGTGTCGTAATTGTTCCTTTATTGTCGCTGGCTTACATAGTAATGCCACTGTATACAACCAAAACAAAGGATGCAGATTACAGTACCTATAACCTTCTTTATTCATACAAGCAGATGTTTTTAATTGTCAGATACAGTACAATCGTGCTCAGCTACACCAAACATCAACTCAGGCCCATTTCATTTATATTTGCAGCACTTCTCAGATTCTTTCGATTCTGTACAGCGGCGTATGTTTTTTAACCGCTTTTTTTTTTTTTTTAATCAGGTCTAGACTAATCCGTAAAACTAACCTTGTCTGTCTGATGGTTCATTCAGTCAAACTGTGGCGCAGGAGCATGGTTAACTCTGGGAATTTCTACTCACCTGTATTGTTGCAATCTGTTATTTCTGTGCCAAACATATACTGCTTTCAATTTGTACAATCTAAAACTGTGCTTGTCTTAACAGCTGTCAAAGGTATATGTATTCAAGAGAGGGAAAAGAGAAGATAAGACTATTTTAAATTTCTTCTGTGGAAGCTTAATACATGATTAAAAATCAGATGATATCTCCAGCTTCAAGCTGCTTAGCATTGCATTGTGTGGTACAGATTTAGCAATCAACACTTATTTTCAAATTCTAATCAATATCTGAGCAGCACTTTTCACTTTGCTCTTCTGTTCCTACAGATATATATGATACAAATAAACAGATGTATTTACATGAACTTTTGCAACATGTCTAATAAAATGTTCTCTTAGACCCTATAGAATCAGGAGTGGCCTGTTATGTTGGGGTGGGCTTTAACTTCATGCAGTGATTCAGGCTGCCTTGTCAGCCATTTCAACATGTGCTTGGTTGTCTTACCTCTTATGGGGTATTATAATTTTTTTGTGTAACAACACACTCGTCACGATTCGGTTCGATACTGATCTCATGATTTGATAATCTGACAATATTTTGAACAAAATCAAATGGAGTTAAAATGGTCTGTTTTTTTTATTATTACTTCTAACACGTGTAGGTAAACACAACAGTTAAATGATGTATTTTATTTTTAATTTATTTATAATTAGTAAAAATAGAAACTATGTGACCTTCTTATTTAATGTGCCATAACATCTGATGCTAAATTAAATCTCTCTAAACTTTCATTTTGGGCGAACTATCCACAAGTAACGCAAGTTATGTAATCAGATTACTTTTTCAAGTAACTAGTAAAGTAACACATTACTTTTACATTTACAACAAAATATCTGAGTTACTTTGTTTCCCCATTCATTGACTGACAGCTCTCCTGTCCCCATGTTGAGAGAAATAGGGAATAAGTGCAGAGGCGGTTTTTGTAGTTTAATCTAGACTAAAAATCTTACTTGCACAAAACAGATTCAGTAATTCCTCAAAATGAATAAAAACAGTGAAATGCAAACGGAATATTATTGCAAACCTGCAATAATTAAACACAAATATACGTTATGTATTTAATCTCACTTTATTAATCAATGTCTTTGCTGCCTGCTGACTTTTGATAACCCAGCCATACGAATAAGCAAAAATTACCTTAGTTAAACATCACAGTTTTGTTTGTTTGTTTTTGAACTTTCTTCTCCTGAATCCTATTCTTCTGCAATACAGAACGGCAGCACAGCTGTAAGGTTTGTTTGAGTTGCGCCCTCTACTGTACAGGCGTGAATTTGCATTTCCTTCAGTCTGAGGCTTATTCGTTTCTTTTTTGTGTGTGTGAAAGGGCCTTTGCCAAAAATATAACTTTTAGAGTTTTTTTTATATATTAAAAAACAAACAAGTAAGCCCAGCCCCGGTAAGAAAAAGTAATGCAAAAGTACAACACTGCATTACTTTCCATAAAAAGTAACTAAATAACACATTTAGTTACTTTTTTAGGGAGTAACGTAATTATTTTTAAAAGTCTCTTCCCCCAACACCGCTATCCACAATGCATATTGTTGCATTTGTGTATTGCGATATATGGTGATGCGATATAGTAACATCCCTATTTTTTTTAGAATTCTAAATCCATTCAAAAATCTTTCAGCTTTTCATATTTAAATCTGGACAGTTAAAAAGATATAATTTGCAATGGCAAGGCCCAAATGCCTAAAATAAAAGGGCTGATAGCAGTACTGTTTTGAATTTAACATTAAAGACCATCTCCTAACAACAAACCAATCCATCTCCATCACAATGTAGGCTACTAGTCTTCTTGAATTAGTAATATTCCCCTTGAGACCTTACTATAGGGTTAATAGCTAGAGTTTTAGTTTAGGGTTAGTCACAGGTAATTATGCATTATTTGCTCCTATTACTACAGTAAATGCATGTAACGTGTAACAAGGAAAAGGTTAAATAAAATGTCACCCATAGTGGTAGAAAATTATAGTGTCACCAGTATGCAGTAAGCCATTTTAAAAAGAAAATGGAGGTTAAATAGAGAGTAACCCTAACTTCTTGATATTCATTACTGTGTGTGTGTTTTGTTTTGTTTTGTTTTCCCCCTGGGATTTCATAATGTCAAACAGCCAAGGCAAGTCTTGAGTCCCGGTTAATGAATACAAACCGTTTGTCGTCCCCTGCAGCTTCAGCATTATTAACCGTGTCTCAAACCTGCTGAGCTGCCTATCTAGACAGCATTTTCGACCATCGCATGCACGTTCCGAGCCAGCTGCCCTGAAAAGCTGCAAGCAAGCAACTCGCTAGGTTTGAGTCACGGTCATTTTCTGTTTTCAAACAGGGCTGAGCTCAGAATAGATCATTGAATAGTAGGCATGACCACCGAGGCCGATATTGCCGTGAAATTCAACCCGCCCGACTATAAGAAGCTCGCGCGGCTGTACTGTATGAATGGAGGATATCACCTTCAGATCCTGGCGGACGGGACAGTGGCTGGAGCTCGAGAGGAAAACATCTACAGTGAGTAATGCTGCATGTCTGTGCCATGACGCTTTCACACAGAGCGATAACGTGTTTCTCTGCATGAGTTCAGTCAACTGCAGTTTTATTGGTGCTAAATAAGAGCCGCAGTTTGCTGATGGTTCAGATTCCCAACGGAATGAATGATGATAATAAAGTACAGAAAAGAATAATAAAGTAGGCAACATAGATTCAAACATGCTACTTTTAGATAATATTGTTATTGTGCTTTGTCCAGAAAAAAAAATCCTTTTAAAAATAACAGAACTAACTGTAAATGGTCCTTAAATGGGTCATTTGATGCTTTTAAATGTTTTCTTTTTTCTTTAGTGTGTAATATCTGTTTGTGCATGTACAAGATCTGCAAAGTTACAAAGCTCATAGTCTCCCAAACATGGATTTATTCTATCTAAAATTAACACAGATCCAGACCTGCCTAAACACATCGATTGAAGTACAGGTATTATTTCCTCAGACGTCCACGTCACAGTGTGACACACAAAGAAAGAAGTCAAGGCTTCAGGGAATTGTAGTGTTGTCGTGGAGACGCTGTGTGTATGCCGAATGCCGATTGCTTTGGCCTTGCAAAAACGTATGACATTAGGAATCAGTGGTTAATATTTATTTATCAAGCACCCTGAGCAGTAACCCAAACGTTTGCTTGTGCACAGCGCATTTTACAGAGGACAGCTTAGTACAACCAAAGTCCCTTTAAGTGTAATTCTAGAGTCTTTCGTACAACGCAGGCTAAATACTAACAGTATTTCCCACAGTAAAACATTCTGCTCAACTGATGCAACAAAACGACAACGTTATTATTAACTGTGTTTACAAATGCTTCATTAGAAGTCTTGAAAGCTGAAGTTACATTTCCAACACACGCTTGAGGTGTTTTTTTTTGGCCAATCACAATATACACACTGAGTCAGCTGGCCAATCAGAGCACTCTGAGCTTTTCAGAAGGAGGGGCTTTTTAGAAATCAAATCAGCGTTTCAGACTGACTGGGAATAGAGGAGCTGCAATAATGTACAGTAGGCTATGTGAAAAATAATATGTTTTTGAACATTAAAGCATGTTAATCCATTCTATTACAACCAATAAACAAAATAATGAACTTTTAAAATAGTATCATATGGCACGGCTAAAGTAGTTCCAGGGAGGTCTTGACCGCATTACATGTGTCGGCCAATAATGAACCAGCGTTCTGCGTTGAACCTGGAAGCACCGCACCGTGTGTAAGAAATTGTTGAATAAAGTTGTTATTGTCGCACAAAAAGTATTCTTGTCGCTTCATAAAATTAAGGTTGAATCACTGTAGTCAAATGGAATTTTGTATCGATGTCTTTACTACCTTTCTGGGCCTTGAAAGTGGTAATTAAATTGCTGTCTGGGACAGAAAACTTGGATTTCATCAAAAAATATCTTAATCTGTGTTCTAAAGAGGTTTGGGGTTACGGGTTTGGATCGACATGAGGGTGAGTAATTAATAACAGAAATGTCATTTTTGGGTGACCTAACCCTTTCAGTTATTTCAAAGGTCCTTACAACATTACAGCAAAAGAACCTAAACTCACAATGACACTGACCAAGCAAATAAATATTGTAAACAATATGATAAAAACAAATTATTTCCATGTTTTTGACACAAAATTAAATTTTATTACGTTAACATAACTTATACAAAATATTAAATAAAAAATATTATTGAATACAAATATGGGAGTATGAGTGTGTCCTCTAAATGAGAGGCACCAGAGGGATATGCATACTGTATACTATAAATAATGCCACATTTCAGTGGTTCATGTATGTTAAAAAGATTCTTGTTCATCATCTGACTTCATCCTCGAAAACATTTGTCCTTGATTTTCTGTTCCTTGTATCATGGGATGCTGGCTGGAACAGTATGTGGAATCTGTTATTGTTCTGTATCACTTTCAATAGTCCTCCCACCCACATGTCTCTCTGTGTGTGGTTTTAAAGGCATACTGCGCATAAAAGCAACAAGTCCAGGAGTGGTGGTCATTGAAGGAACAGAGGCAGGACTTTACCTCTCTATGAATGAAGATGGCAAGCTGTATGCTTCAGTAAGTATAAAGAAACCTTTCGGATACAAAAAGATGCATCAGCATTTGCACGACTATTATGTGTGCTTTTCTGTCTCTGCAGTCATTAGTAACGGATGAAAGTTTTTTCTTGGAGAGGATGGAGGAAAACCACTACAACACATATCAGTCTCAAAAGCATGGTGAAAACTGGTATGTCGGAATAAAAAAGAATGGAAAAATGAAACGTGGCCCAAGGACACACATTGGGCAGAAAGCTATTTTCTTTCTCCCACGACAGGTGGCCCAGGCAAAGGTCTGAGGCCTGAAACCTGATAATGTAATCAGCATAACCATAATCCACTGTCAAGTCACAGGCTTACTCTACAAACTACACATAAACCGCTTCTAACTCGCTACGGCAGAAAAGGTACGTTCACGCCATTTTGAAATTACCGTAATTATGAGATTTACGTTTGTAAAAAGTGTTCGCTTCCTCGTAATTACAGCTTGTAAAATGAAAGTTTCCTGAGAGCTACTTGTACCGTGACCGCTGCGGATTTATTCAGCTGTTGATAGTGTTGAAACCATAGACTGTAAAAGGTTGAAACGCATAATTCCCAGTCCGATGATGTGAAGAGCTCTGAGTAGAACGTCATGTGTTGTCCGCTCAAAATTACGGTAATTATGACATGGCGTGAAAGCAGCATAATATACAAAGTTTACTAACTCTTGGATGTAAACATGTTAAGATTCACAAATATGCACTGACAAAAAACAACAACATAAAACTACTGTAATAGTAACTTCTTTTTATTTTGTATTTGTGAAGTGATTCTTTAGTTAGAACAATCTCAATTTTGCCATTTCATGTTTTTTCTTATTCGTATATACTCGTGTCTGATCGTATTTGTTTTTTTTCTTCTTTTTCTTTTTTAGAACAACACAGTAATAGCACGATTATAGTGCTGTGTCATTGAACTTCTGGATCATGTTAAACACAATAAATCTGTGAGCTGTGCCGAGTCATGGAAATATATATTTATTTATGTAGTTATAACTGTTAACTATAAATGGTGAACATTACTACAATTAGATACAATACTGTAAAAAGTTGCTGCCTTAAACATCCAAGTTGATTGTGCTTAAAAATTTAAGTCATTTCAACTTAAATTGCAATAAACTGACTTAAAAAAAAAAGAGTTGAATCTTGTATGAATAATAAAAAGTTGCTTAACTTATTTTGATGAGTTAAAGCAATGTAAAAACATGTTGTCATAACTTATAGATTTTTTTTTTTACAGTGACATAAAGAACGGATTATAGTCGATCTTAACACACAAAATAGATTTATATTTAATTGATTTATTGGATTTATATATAAAATATAATACATTTATATGTAAAAGTCTGCAATTCATCTTCAACTGAGGATGTAAAAATGATGACACTGTGGCAATGATAGTGTTTAAACGGTATGTGAGAAATAATAATGTTCAAAAGCCAATTAGAATTAAAACTTCTATTTATACTTCTATTCAGCTAGGACGCATTCAATTGATCAAAGGAGACGGAGACAGTAATAACATTTACAAAACTCTTTATTCTTCAAAATAATCCTGAAAATGTATATTGAATGATTTCTTAAGGATCATGTGACTGAAGACTGGAATAATGATGCTGAAAATTCAGCTTTGCATCACACGAATAAATTATATTTGTAAATATATTCAAATAGAAAACTATGGAAGCTTGTTTCGACCAAGAAATAAAAAAATTAACTGCGACTATTCCTTTTTTAAATTCTTTTTTTTCCTCACAATTGCAAGCTTATATCCAATAATTGCAAGTTATAAACACCCAATTAGGAGAACATCTTTGTTCCCCTTAGAATTGAGGCATAAACTCACAATTGCGAGAAAAAAAGTCATAATTGTGAAATATATATATTTTTTATTCCATGGTGGTTCTTTTAAATTGTAATATTCCACAATATTACTGTTTTTACTGTACTTTTGATCAAATAAATGCAGCCTTGAGCATAAGAGACTTCATTCTAAAACTGGTGATGGTATAGTGTACATAACTGACAAATGCACCAAGTGATCAGCGTTGCCATAGATGATACATTTATTAAAAGTTACTTGACAGGTGTAAAACATACAAATCACAAACAACATATTGTGAAGCACTATCTCATACTGAAGTCTTCAATGAAAACAAAGATCAATGAATCATCTACTGCTACATTTGGCATCATAAAACATTCTATTCACACCAGATCACTGATTGATCAAGCGCATTACATAATCAGGTGTGCTTGAATGCGGAATTAGTCTGCCGTTTATATTGAACTGCTATGAATCTAGGCTTAGCTTTTATTTAATGAGTAGATTGGTCCTTATTGTGACAGTAATTTGAAACGGGCTTACATAATCTCGAATAAACTTTGCCCTAATATGCTCTTGGCTTTACAAGGACCTGGCAGTTCCTCTGTGTTGTTCTGTTTATATCTTAAAAGTGCATCTTTATAACGTTTAATATCACTCTTCTCGTATACTGTATATACATACTCTTTTTCTAGTTCACAAAAGAAAGTTCAGTTACTAGATTTACTCACAAAGTAAAATTACAAGCTCCCTCCCCCCGATTAAAAGAAAACCCACAGAAACAAACAGCGACTGGGAATTTGACAAAAACAGATTCTCTGATGGCATGACTGCTAATTGGAACTTGAAATGCCAAATACATGCAAATGTAAGCAAGTTCAAACTCCATAATGAATGCATACTGTACGTCTACACTTTAAGCACTGATAAACGGTTGAATCCTTTAGTAAAAAATGCCAATGAAATGAGTTGCATTGTGCAAACAACTGAGAAATGCAAGGGCGTCTGAAGCAGATGTACTCTTCTTTGTTGTCCTGAAGAATCAAAAAAGCTGTGGGTGGCTCTCTGACTTTGCCGTTTTGTTCATTTCGCAATTATCCTGAGATTTTTTTATCTATTCCCAAAAATCAGAAAGAGAAGATACTTCACCTTCATGTTAATATCATATCCACAATCATTTAGATCACAGAAAGGTTGTCTTTTAATTAGTTTCCCGCTAATGCAATGCTTACACATAAACCCATCTAAAAGCCAGTAAATAGTTTCTTATGATTTACCTAATAGATAAAAAGAACGCGGGTTCGAGGAAGGGTGGACATGGAATGATCGGCCATGTTGCGAACTCTGGAGTAGTTAACAAATCCCCGGAAGAACAGCAGGAATCCTGGGTGTATTCAAAATAACGTGTTAGTTGTACGGATGTATTCAATTTTATATTCATTTATATACACTAATGTGCAAATATACACTCACCTACAACAAGGAAAACCCACCACAGCCAGTACTGGCCATCGAAATATCCAGGGAAGTAGGTAGAAAACTGTTTAATCACAGAGAGAAAAGGTTGAGTGCTCGTCCTCTGTTACATTGCAATAAAAACACTAATGCAACAAACAAACAGCTTTAAATATTAACCCACTGCCACGATTTATGATGATGGTAACACTTTTCAATAAGGATCCATTTGTTAACATTATAGTTAACATGAACTAACAATGAACAATACTTCTGTTTATCTCAACATTCACTGTTAACAAAAAATGTGTCTTGATTTAGTTTTTGGGGTCTACAAGAATAGATCTTCGTGCTTGAATGTAAAAAAAAACATTATTTTTCACATTGTCGCAGCACCTCTCTTCCCAGTCTGTCAGTAACACTTGGTTTAGTTCAGGGGTGGAAACTCAGTTCCTGGAGGGTGAAAAGGCTTACAGGCTTAATGCTAAACGTCACATGAACACTAGTCTGATCGCATCTGCTCGTCTGAGAAGGTGTTAACAGCAGTGCAAACTGACGGTGATATCTATGGATTTTTACGATAAGCAGCTAACCTAGCTAGTTCTATTTCCTGTTGGCATTATATTTGATATCTAAGGGTGTATTCACACCTGCCTTGTTTGGTTCGATTGAATCGAACTCTAGTTCGTTTCCCCCCTTGGTGCGGACCTTTTGGGCAGGTGTGAATACAGCAATCGAACTCGGGTGCGGACCAAACAACCGAACCAAGACTCAGCTGAAGAGGTGGTCTCGGTACGGTTCCAAACGAACTCTGGTACGGTTCGTTTACGGTGTGAACATGAACCGACCCAATTGCAAGAAAGCACTGCGCCTTTGAGTTAACAGGCTTCCGTAGTCGGAGTTGCGTTATGGGAAAGTGATCTGTTGTAGCCTACTACATTACATCTGTTGCGCGTCTTTCTGCGCGTCGTGTGTGCGTCATTGGAATGGAATGAATGAATGAGTGTGTGCATCAGGACATTCACATACAGAGAGTTCTCTTTAGTCTAATCGCGCAAAGATGCAAAAAAAAAAAATTTTCAGTTCATATAATGTAACGATAGTTACAATACAAGGATGACGCTGCGTTAATTTACGTTAAGCCTTTTTTGCACTTCCTGATTTCCCTACTTGAGAATCCTTGTCCAATGAATGGACGACCTTAGCACACGTGTGGTTTTGTTTACAAATTTTGGTTCACTTGCAAAAAGAGCAGTGTGAAAGCGAACCGTACCAAAAAAAAAAAAAAAAACTAATTATTTGGTCCGGACCAAAGCAAGTGAACTATCGGACTTTCCTGGTGTGAATACACCCTAAATGTTAGTGAGAAGAAAGATAAAAAACATTTAGTTATCAATCTGCATATGCTCATCTCTGCTCGCTCCTTTGAAGGTATCTTGAGTAAAACCGCTCTATATTTAACGAAGCACATATAAAAGACTGGAAGCGATGCGACCTGTTTTACTGCGCTTAACCCCAATTAAACGAAGTCCTTCAGGCTTATTTGGAAACTACAGGTATGTGTGTTGGAGCAGGGTTAGGACTAAACTGAGCTTCGCACCCCTGGTTTAGATCTGAACTCTACGTGCTCTGATTGGTTGGCTGGACCAGTGTGTTGTGATTGGTCAACCACTTTGAAGGAGTTTCAGAAATGTCACGCCCCTTACCATAAACAGTGCGTTACAACACACTACTAACGTAACTCAACCAGGCCTCGCCAGCTTTATTTCGCATGTGCCTTGGGAGGAATTATTTAAATAAGGAATATTGTGACTTGTTCATTCCCGGAAGTGCTTTGTAACTTTGCAGAGCTTTTTCGTTCTCAAACAGCAATATTACACACTAAAGAAAGTTTTAGAAAACCTTCAAAAAAAGCATAATAGCTCCTCTTTAACAGTTAATGCACTGTGCACTAACATGGACATTTTTATTCACTAACATTAACACGATATAAAATGCATAATAAACGTAATAAAAAAAAAAACGTAGTAACTAATGAGACCTTATTGAAAACTGTT